ATAACCTTAATCTATAATATTGGTATGGCTAGGGCTAACGTAGACAGTTTTATTGGAATTTAAGTTCCTGTGCACTACAGGCTTTGGCGACTAATTCAACTTTTTTTCCTGTGATCTAAAGACCTCGTAAGCTCAAGTGGTCTTTCAGGAATCCTGTAGGTAAAGCTAAGAAGTCTTCATACGTAAAGCTCGTTTCCATTCTAAAAAAAACGCATTCAGAACCGTCAGACTTTGAACATGGAAACAAAACACGAATATTATTTATAAGGGGCATTTAAGTCAGTAGAAGTTATAGGTTTCAACTATTACAGGAAAGTATAACAACAACGCTTTGTGTACGAACACGTGTTGGACGCTCTAGAACTAACATCGGCATATCGTCCAAATTACGCTTTATAAAGAACTAGGAGTTAAAAGACCATTGTAAGAGCTAGAATTCAGCAGACAGGGTTTGCGATATTAAGAAAACTAGCATGTCTCGTGAATTTTTTGAAAACTTATCCAACAAAAGCATTTCTGTGTTCCTCCTCGAGTTACTCATGCATTTTTCAAAGCGGTTTCAAAGCAAAATCTAACAAGGAAAGCTCAGTCAGAAAATGCACAAGGACTCAGCAGACCTAAGTTTCGCCAAACTGCAGACTTGGAAGTTGATTAAGAACAGAAAGATGAGAAAGTGGGATCATATATTGCATTCTTATACTTTATTTTTAATTCTTTTTAAGAAATCAGATCGATGACAACAATCAAGTATGATGCAATATTTGCAATTCGCTCGTGTGCCCCCGGCCGGAGAAAGAGTGTAAAACACTTGGACAAGATAGCGGTTCATATCCGTCTAAACTTTTGTCTTTTCTCCATTTAGAATTTTTGCTTTCCCTTGCTTTTTAATCCAGAAACAAAAATGCTATGAAAAATAATATGTTAAGAGTGGTAAACGCTGCACCACAAAGCGATTGAATAATTCAAGTTATTTTTTCCTACCGTTTACGCCTCAGATTTCAGAAACAAAAGATGACATGCAGAGTAGACTTCTCGCGCCGCAGAAACAAGTAACATTTTTAAATGCATCGTTGATGGAAAAGGTAAGTTCACGTTCCTAAATTTCCACAATGCAGTTGTACATGAAGGTATTTTTAGTACTACTCATTCAGTGGCTTACATACATATATACATACTTTATTCGTTCCAAATGAGCTTTTCAGAATAAAGAAATAATTAAAACTATATACTAAAAAATTAATGACGGAGCTAATTAACTGGTAAATATATAAAATAATCAAATTAACTGATTAAATAAATGAATTAAATAACATAAAGATAAAAGCAATTAAGTCTCTAAAAAGTTTGAGGTAAGGTAAAGCTTAAACGTTAGCAACCCCACAAAACCCAAGAGATGATCGGGGGTTCTCTCCTTGTTATGCCCTAACAACATATATTCAACCTGATAAGTTTACCCTTTTTCATTGACTTAAATGCGATGGCTTCAACTCTATTGGCCCTCAAGTGTAAGTAAGTTCACAATAAGGTTAATCGAATAGGGAGTGCAAATCTGACAAAAAAAAATTGAAGACTTTATCAGACTTCTAAAGTGTTTCCCGAATAAGCACCGCTTATTAATCGAGGAGGGAGGGGGTTCCTTCTTGAAGTAGCGCAGCACATAAAGGGACTCCGCCGATTGTTGATTTGCTTGGTTTTCTAAGGGCGCGGTCCTGACGGTTTCCCGTCGCGCGTCAGCCTTCCAAAGTCCGTTAAAAATTGATTGAATGCCGAAGAAACGACAAAACTTTTGTTGTTATGAGGTCTATACATAGAAAAATTTCATATTCACTAAGTTACGCAAAACTTAGTAGCATCTTTTGTGCTTTTCAGAATTCTATTTGTTCCTATCGCGTTTATCATTTCCTGATCCTGCGTATTCATTGACCAAACGCGAGGCAGCCACTTTGAAATTTAGCGACCCTGCCATAATCATCTCGTGGGAGGCAATTATAGTGAGATATGAAGCAATCGTCGACCAATCAGAGTGCGTGCATCTCTGTAATCCCGGAACAATTCTTTTAAAAACACAAAACAGAATATGTGGGCCGTATACTGGCGACAATGATTGCCAAACTCGCTTTAGAAGTTATCAAAATAGAATTCCTCTAGAGGTAAAGTCTGATATATGTGCTAACAAGAGATTGTAAACTAAGAGAACTTGTCTCCGTGACCCATGATAATTTTATTGAAGTCTATGCTAAATTTCCTGCCACGCTGGGGGATTATTCTCATTTTTACCTCCCCCCCCCCCCCCCCATGAAATCTTCTCTTGATGTTAATCATAAGTGCTTGAAATGTCAACTTTTTGAAATCTGCGAGAGCAGTTATTTCTTTCCCTTTATCGAATTGATAAATCAACCATGCGAAGGCCTTAAATGTTGGGTGCTGCAGTTACATATCATACCGCATGATGTATAGCTGATAACAAATAAGATCTCAATTTTGTATTTGGCACTTCGCAGAAAATTATGGGCTGGGTGTTCAAATCTGGGCTAAGATAACCCAGTGTTAGTGGGAAATCTGATTTCAGATCTGAAAGCTTTTAAAGCAAATTCGGTATAATTCTTTCTGACTACAATTTGATGATTGGTTGTTCTAAAAAGAGTAGAGAAACTTGGTCGAAAAGGCTTTTGAACAAAAATTAAAGAACACCGGATTAAAATTCAACCTTGAGTTAGTGCTAGTCAGCCGTTTAACAACTGGACCTTGCATTAGAACTCTGTCAAAAACGTTTAACTGTCCATTGAAACCTTAGCGTTAATTTGACGCAGAAACATACCCGAAAACATCATCTCCCCCGAGATGCGGTTAAAATTGATAATAGAAAAGTACATTACACCATGTGCTTTCAGGAAATCGTGGGTTTCAACGGAACAAGAGGTCCACGAGGCTCCCCGGGTGTTTCACGATTACCAGGTCCAAAGGGGGTTGGAAAGCTCAGCTCTTGTGTTCATAAGAAGGCAGAGGCAACTGGGCCGGCTGGAATCTACTCTGTTAATGACGTGCACGTAAGGGACATAGTGGTAAGTAACGCCTAAGTAAATTCAAGGTTAAAACGTGATTGAAAGATAAAGCGCCTAGAATTTTAAGCAATATGAGGACCCACACCAGAATAAACATTAACATTTAGATTAGTCAAATCGTAAGTTCAGATTCAAAAATTCAAGTTAAAGAATGAATCAGGAAATCGACAAGGGCAATACCGAAAGTTTTTACATAATGAGCATTTGGGAATGTTTAGACTCCCCCCTTTGCACATTTCTGACACTTTCAAAGACGACGTTAAACAAAAATGAACTGTACAGAATACTTTATTCATTGGTTCTAATCATGCCTTAGTGCACTATGAAAAGGAATCTAAATAAAGTATAGATCTGTTTTTGGGAGTTTTCAAAACTTTCAGTCATGCATTTTATCAAATGTACATATATTAAAAAGAGATACAATTTCGTTTGACTTCGATCACACTTCCTCTTGTAAGGTATCTGCTTTTAAGTTTTCAAACGCACCCGCTATCTAGAACTTGAGGCTGGGTGGTCTACCTGTTCCTGTGATCTCTGGTATCCACGTTTCTCCCACTATACCATCCCTTCCCTCAAACAAAAACGTCTTTGATTGCATTTTTTTTCTAACGCTTGTGTGCTTCGATTACCGTAAAGCGAAGTATACAAATGAACGAACTAACAATAGGTTGAGGCAAATTGAAGTATAGGTTTTACTATAAAATAACAGTATTCAATAGGGAAAAGCTGAATTGCGATAAGTTGATATTGAAGCTCTCTGATAGACAGACTTGATGTAAAGAGGTCAGCGAATTTGCGTGGGCTGTATTTCAAAACTTATCTACGCGTAAGTAGTTAAGTATCTACACGCGCTGCTAACGTGAGCACGCGGTTTATTTCAGGGATATCGCGTGATAAGATTATCAGGAAGAAGTGGCGGTATATTCATGTTAAGAAAATAAACAACGTAAAAACCACTCGAAAGGACGACATCACAGGTCATATTTATTTTCGCGCACAATCACAAAAGAAACCTCTTCCCAGTCTAAAAAATACTCGAAATGAGGACGACGCAATCACGAAAGCAGAAAGAATCAGATGTGAAAGTTTCTAATTATAAACTTTAAGCTAATTCTATGAACCTATTTTGTTGTCAATGCTTGCGTCCTTGATTGACTGGCCCATTTTTATTTTTTTTTTTTTTCTGAATAACTCTACGTACCAAAAGTTCCTCCCAGGTACTCAGTGATAAAAAATTAATATATGAAGTTCACTCTCTCACAAAAGATCGAGATTCTGATTTTCGATTTTCAATTTTAGTGACTTGAGCAAATTACAGTATAAACAAAGTCGGAAGGCTCCTTTTTCGTTGTCAGTGTTTTGTCGAGAGATTTAAATTTCGTGATGATTGAAGATAAAAACAAATAGGAAGTGTTAATTGAAAACAACATTTTAGACCACACGGTCTCATTCACATTTTCGCGGGGATCTTTTGCTCAATTAAAAGTCAATACAGAAAGGCTCCTATTTCACATAACATCAATGGCGTTACGGTGCAAACGCGTAAAAGTGCAGCCGGCTGAAGTTCTAACTTTAGAGAGTACTAGCGAGGAATTACCTGAGTGTGAAGACATTTTACCACTTCAGTTACAAAATAAAACGCCATCCTTTCGCAATTTGCACTCCATCCCAGAAGAAACCGGCCTTCAAGGATCGCACAGGAGGTCGGAGAGTTCCCTGACAGATAAACCGGAGCTGCACCTCATCAACCAAATCCAAAGGGCTCTTAATTCTTTACGGGTGCTGGTTATTGTTTTTGTGGCTATTTCAGTCGTTTCACTCTCGCTCAACATATGGGTTATCACCAGCGTTCTTGGCCAAGAACAAAGCAATCAGGAACACAGGGTTAACACATCACAGCAAGGTATCAAGCCAGCTATATTCGAAAGTTTTATTTTTTCATGCCCTTCAATGGATCCTCTTTTGTTTAAAATGGTATTGAGTTCACCTCTGAGTCAATGAGTCATGAATCTGCTCATCCATAGTTTATCGACTTACTGTAATTTTCGAAATGAAACGAAATGAAAATCTAGAACCTGCGAATGGACTCAACATCTGTAATTTTCGACTGCAAAATAGGAAATCTGTTATTTGCGGAATTCACTCAAAATCTGTAATTTGTAAAATGGAGTCAAATTCTGCAACTGGCGATATGGAAAATCTACAATTTGCGGGTCAGAAATCAGTAATTTGGAAACGTTTGGCTCAAAACTCCATCGAGCGGAAGAGTCAATCGGTAAGTTCACCACTAGCCGTGGATTGCATATGCAACCTGACAAATAATACCGTTTCGTTTTGCAAATGACAATAAGCCACACGAACTTTTTAACTTTTTATATTATTTTTCAACTTCCTCATGAGTTGCACCTCACAAGTGCGTGTAGCTGTGGTGCTGCTTCACCAGAAAGGAGCTAGGGCCCATGCGCACTAGCAGACAAAATTAAAATTGTACCGAAAGATCAAGGACAATTTTTTGTCGCCTCTCGTGCAACTGCACTAAATGTTTCTAAGCTTTCAAAGCTGTAAAATTCGGTCCACAGCCAAAAATAACACCGATACTACATTTCATTTTCATTTATTCAGTGAAGCTTTTCGTTTCCCTTTGCTTCGAGTGACCACTTTTGGATCTTTTGCCACCTCTACCGCTTCATTGTTGGACTGGTAAAGTGGCGACTAGTTAATCACGCCACCATAAGGTGAGACATTCCAGCGCCTAATTAACCTGCTCATAAAAGTGGCGGCTTTAATTTGCATAAGGATTTAAACTCCATTTACCGGTATTCATCTTAATTTGTCTGAATTTGTAAAATCCGCGAGTTTCTTAACGAAAGACAATTACTGTAATCCTTTGGTAAAGTGAACTCAGTTCATTACCACATTGGTGTTTATCGCAGTCTTGTTTATTTAGCCGATTTTGCCGAGATTTTTACCCGGGACAAATTTTGCCGGCGGTGCCTTTGAAAATTTTTCCGCTTCGACCAAAGTTTGTCAAGTCGCGACAAGCCATGCGCACTTGTAAAGTGTTGGTGATGACAGAAAATTTGTCAGACATTTTTTTTCGCTAGTGTGCGGATAGGCCCTTACTCATGCACTGATTTTATTCGAAACACCGACATGACACTTAGTGACGGATTATTTCTTTTGATATCGGAGTTAAAAATTATCAACATCTACTCCGTGAGTAAAGGTACTCCTTTAATTTCAAGAGTAGCCGAGATCATCCGAATTCCAAGTTTGGTATCAAGGGCCGGACTTTCCTTTTAAGGGAAGGAAAATAATCCTTCCGGCACGCAATCAACCAAATAACAGAAATCGGGAAAACTGATCAGAATAGCAACAGGATCTCGCCAAAATATCTCTATGATCATAGGGAAAACATTAGAAAGAAATACAGGTAAAAAGTTATCTGAACAGCTGTGTGCCCAAAATGTTTTCATTGTAACAGGTAATTTAAACCAAACCAGATTACACCATTCCCTGATCATTCTAATTAATTTATCATTACTAATGCAATTTAAATGGAACATGTTTAACCTTACTTTGCGCTGTTTTTCTGTTCTTTACTCTCCGTAGGAAAATATGTGAGCGAAAATGAGACCGGCCCCTTGGGAATTCTGAACGAAACCAAGCAGGAAATGAAAAAAGAGGAAACACAAGATAAGCATAACAAAGATGCCGCCAGAGGAAATACCTCTGCGAGTGACGAGAGCTTCCCCGGAAATGCTCAAAGATATCTTAATATTACACATCAACGACTTGAAAAACTGGAAAATCAGTCACAAAGTTTAATTGACGAAGTCAAACTCATACGAAAGATGTCAGAGAACTTCTCAGACACCGAGTTGAAGGTTAGGCTCGCAACAGTTACCAAAGCTATTTATTAAACTATAAAAATGTGATGATTTGTCACGTGGTCATCAGTTAGGCGAAAAGCAGGAAATCAAGCTGAGAACAATATTCTTATGGTGGGTCTTTCAATATGACATCCATACTTTCGACTAGAAATAGACTAAAGTCTGGAGATATTTGATCCACCACACGGATAAGAACCGCTTCTCATAGCGACAGCATTATTTTGTTTGATTTTTTTTTTTAATCATATATAAAAAAAAAAATTAACTTTAATAGCTAACACAATTACTGGCTTACCAGTAGTTTGCTGTAAACAAATAATTCAAATTAAACATAACATTGTTAAGAATTCCAACTGGCCGGAGGCAAACCAGTTGGCTATTTACAAGCATGGCGGAGGATTTGAACTCATAGTGGTCAGGGCGGGACTCGAACCCGGGAGCGACGGATTGCGAGTCCGACACGCTGACCACTCGGCCACGCTGCCTCCTAACTGCTTATATCTTAACTGCTTGGTTAAGGTAGTCAAGATAAAGCATTGAAGTTTATTATCTTTGAGTTGGGCAAACATCCTTGTTTCCCTTATTAACATGAACAGCAATGAACGGCTGTATTTTGAATCGTGATAATATCATAATTACTGGCGCGTCACCAGGTCTGTTTTAAATGTTGCATGCCTAAGGCAATAAACTATAAGTAGTAGTTTTCGCTTCACGTTCATCGCTTTAGATCTCCAGTTGACCTCAACTGATTGATTGATTAGCGATTCTGTGATTTTTCCGCTTCGACATTTTTGTATGCATTTTCACAAAGCTGACTTTCAGGTTGTTGTTCATCGCCCGGTCGACAATTTGAAAAACAATGTTAAATCCTTATGACTTTTGTCTTTCTCTTTGGCTAATTCAGTGGTGATATTTGAGTTCAGTTTGATTCGCGGCCTCAAATGTGCGCCAAACAAATTCCTTCAGTGGTCTTGAATTTGTCCCACATCGCAGCGACTTGATTTGTGGTTGTTCAGCATCTACGCCATTTCCGGCTTCTTTCTGCTGTAGTTTGCCAGATGGCTAACAATTTGGGGTGTTACGAAAACTAAGACCCTCGAAAACGAAGACCTAAGACCTAAGAACCTAAGACCCGTCTTAGTTTTCGAGATTACGAAACCTAAGACCCGTCCTAGTTTTCGAGATTACGAAAACTAAGACCCCCTAAAATCGAATCCGTCGAAATATAAAGTCAAATTGTAACCAAAATAGGTCTAATCTGTCAAATTATCTCCTGCGCGATCCTTTCCACCGTGTTTTAGGTCAAATTTAACGGTCAATTCAGGGATCTTAGTTTTCGTAATTTCGAAAACTAAGAACCCCTCTCAGTTTTCGTAATTACGAAAACTATGACCCTCACCAAACCACTCTTTTCTGTAAAGTCGAATTACCACCGTTCAAAGACTATAATGCGTAAAACAACCAAAAACTACTATCATACTTGACGATCAGGCATGCGAACGACTCAAAATCCAAGTTTCCGCGCCAAAACCTACCGCGTGGCATACGTTACTCAGCTCTGTCACAGGTAACGCAATCTCGATCGCAGAGACGCGAAGACCTGAAGAAAAACATGCATCTCCAACGGAAGGTTAATTTTATGATTTAAAGGATAAACAACAAAATTAAAGACCAATAGGGGTAAGGCATATTTTCAGTGTACGACTATATGTAGGTAGTGTATGGCTTTCATCCTCTTCATTAAGCCACAAAGCTGTTAATATATGTGTGCAAATTGTTTGAAGAAGCGAATCATCTAGTACGCGTATGATAGCAGTTTTTGGTTGTTTTATGAATTATAGTCTTTGAACGGTCGTAATTCGACTTTGTAGAATTTTTACAGAATGGTTTGGTGGGGGTCGTAATTACGAAAACTAAGAGGGATCTTAGGTTTTAGAAATTACGAATACTAAGTCCCTTAAATTTACCGTTAAATTTGTCCTAAAACTCGTTTGCAAGGATCGGACAGGAGATAATTTGACAAATTAGACTTGTTTCGGATACAATTTGACTTTATATTTCGACGGATTATATTCGATTTTAGGGGGTCTTAGTTTTCGTAATCTCGAAAACTAAGACAGGTGTTAGGTCTTAGGTCTTAGTTTTCGGGGGTCTTAGCTTTCGTAGCACCCGCTGAACAATTTGGGACTGATATCGTTGGATTACATGATTATCTTACATGATTCATTCGTGTTAGGATAGTTTTGCTTTTATCTTCGTTGTTAAATACTTTGTTCTATTTTCATCGGATATAATAAGTAGTGTTTCAGGGTCCAAACTTCAATGACCCTAACCCCTCTCTTTCTACTGCTTTTAATAAGGCTCTCAGTTACGTTGGGAAGTCTCTGTGTGAAGTGAACATTAGGTTTTGAAGACTGAACTGGATGATATATACCCAGAATGAAGTCATTGCTACAATTCAGCAAATTGGACTTGCGATATTAAGAAAGCTGTCGTGTGAATCTTTTGAAAACTAGTCTTACAAAAACATTTCTAAGTTGTTCCTCGAGGTACTCGTGCATTTTTCAAAAGCGGTTTCAACGCAAAAGCTAACAAGAAGGGATGGTCAGAAAATGTACAAGGACTCAGCAGACCTAAATTTTGCCAATCTGCAGGCTTGAGGATTAATTGAGAACAGAAAGATGAGAAAATTGATTAAATATTGCATTCTTAGACTTTTATTTCTATTTTCCAAGAAATTAGAAAAAACAATAGTTTATGATGAAATTTCTTCGATTTGGAAAAAAAAATTCAGAAAGAAACGGCCTCTAAGCGTGTCCGGTGTCCAAATAAAAATACTTGGACACGATAATGATTCATATCTGTTAAGTTCCAATTAAAAAAAATTGTTTTTTCTCCATTGAGGATTTTTGTTTTCTCCATCTTTTAAATCTAGAAACAAACTTACTCTGAAAGATAATGTATTAAGAGTGGTAAACGCTGCACACAAAACGATTGATAATTTATTTTTCCTCCCGTACACGCCTCAGATTTCAGAAACAAAAGACGACATGCAGAGTAGACTTCTCACACTGCAAAGACAAGTAACATTTTTGAATGCATCGTTGATGGAAAAGGTAAATATACGTTCCTAAATTTCCACAATACAGTTGTATATGAAGCTATTTTTATTCTGTTACTTCAATGGCTTGGCAATCCCACAAAACCCAAGAGGTGATCAATAGTTCTCTCAATGCCTTCTTGTGTGGATAAGTGAGGAACAATTATATGCCTTATCAACATACCTTGCACCTGATAGGTTCATCTAGTTTCAGTGACTCAATTGTGATGGCTTCAACTTTATTGGTCCTCAAACGTAACTTAAAGTAAGGTCAGAATGAGATAGATCGAACAAGGAATGCAAAGCTAAAAGAAAACTAAAACGCCTTATCATACTTTTACAGTGTTTCCTCGGATAAGCGCCCGGGTGCTTCCTTAAAATCTTAGAGGGGCGCGTAATCAAAGGAAGGAGCTTAATCGAGGGGGCCTCATGTTAGGTAGCGCAGAACATAAAGGGACTCCGCTGTAGCTAAAGCTCAAAAAGTCTTAAATATTGTGGCAGTAGAACCAGACCTCCCCTGATCCCTACCGTTAAAGAAAGTAAAGGGAGTAGGAGGGGCGCTTATTATAGCCCAGATGGTGGGCGCTTATTCGATGGAAAGCGTCTTTTCGAGGAATCACGGTATATGTAACAAGCTTTCATTTTTTTTTCTATATGGGTGTTCCTTGACTATTTTCCAAACACTCATTTTATTCATTTGTTAAGGGATAACAATGGGATTTTTTGCTTTTATCATTTTTTTTTTTTTGTTTATACTATCTATTTATTGGTTAATCATCTCTTTACTTTGTTGTTTTTTCTTTCTCGTTCCAAGATTAGCAACATCAGCGGAATGACTGGCTCAGCAGGGCCGAGTGGTTTACCTGGCATTCCTGGTGTTCCTGGCATTCCAGGCATCAATGGATCGCACGGTCCCATTGGTCCCAAGGGTGACCAGGGCATTAATGGCTCCCAAGGGCTCCAGGGCCCTGCCGGACCTCCAGGCGGTTATGGGCCCCAAGGGGTACCGGGACCTTCCGGCCCGCCAGGGCCTGGAAACCTAAGTTTGTGTTATTACAAAGAGGAACAGAGCACTGGTGTTACCAAAGGTGCCTCAGCAAACGACAAAGTTATTGTAAAGGAACTGCATGTAAGTTTCTTCTCTTTTTTTAATGATACAATCATCTTTACTGTTCATCAACCAGCCATAAATGGAAAAAAGCCCAATGATTCTTCCCTTCAGCTAAACTAATTCAGCCTTTTTTCACCTATCCTTGTAGTCTAATTTAATCAAGAGTATCACAACAATTATCAAGCATCGCAATGCTAAATCTACATCAGTGATTACGTTTCCACAGTAAATTCACTCGTGATAAAACGTGAACTTATTTTGCTAATAAAACGGACGGAAATCTTTTCAAACGCCCGGGTTCCGATTTGTTTCCCTGTTCCTCTTCCCTACTTGTAAGAGCTCATTTGTAAAGCAGGCAGGAGTATTTGATTTAATTTCAATGAAAAAAGGCTTTATCTGATAAGGAAGCTCATTGTCAACTACATTTATTAGTTCATATACTGAAATTTTGAGGGAAGGGCAGAATGGTACTTACCTGACACAAGTACATCTACCCTCAATGACAACAGCAATGACTCCATTCTCGTTATGGAAAGCAGTAGTTTAACTTGTTAGTTTCCTGCTACCATTTGGCCCTTATAAAGGCACTAATTTCACTAAAAAAAACAGATGTTTTTCGTTGCTTCAATGTGCAGGACGTTAAGATTATTGGTGCGACTTGTTCATCGAACGATGCCGCCATGCACGCCTTAACCAGCGAAGTCAGCTCAGGATTCCGCTTCTTCAGATGCCGTTGTCGAGGAAGTATAAAAACTCCCATTGCCGAGCCGATGTACTGCTACATCCACTATTGGGAATGTCGCTTAATTAGTTAAAGGGCGCAGCTTGATATTGGTCTTATGGTTTTCTCTGTATAAACGTATATACTCCATTTTTCGTTTTTAAAGGTGTAGCCTGCCATTAATTCATAATTGGGATGCTAGCCTAAAACCCCCAGAAGAAGTTCACATACAACTCCCTGCAA